AACTGGAAGAACAGCTTCTACTGTACTATTTTAGATGCAATTTTTTTGTTTTCAACTATGTTTAGTTTTCATTGAGTACTTAGGTGTATTAAATTGATAACATTTCAGACATTGTTATAAATATTTTTATATTTTTTGATTTTTTAACCAAATGTTCAAACTGTTTTAAATTTGAATTTGTTATTGCACATTGGTTCGATTATAGAACGATTGTAAATGTTCCAGAAAATTGATCATATTGATTCTCAATAGTTCATTTGATTCTCAGCAATTCTCATCATTCTCAGCAGTAGATGTTATATAATAATTACTATGGTTGTTGAAATACTGAATATAAATGGGGTTTGCTTGCAAAACCTCTGCGGGCGAAGTCGTGGGTAACAGCTAGTGACCATATAGATAACCATTTTGGATCATTTTGGTTTTTTATTTATTTTAATATATTTTTATACATAAAATCAGTTTTAACAAACAGAATATAGTCAAGAGACAAGAAATAATTATGAGACTTGATAAAAAAATTCTTTTATATCAATTTATAAGGAAAATATTTATTGATAAATCTATGTAGACAAATTACTAATAGTTACTTTTTTACATTTCAAAAATTTCATTGATAGAAAAATGCTGTTATATAATTAATTACATAAGTAAACACCCACTAACTCAGACTAATAGGGAATGAATGGTGTCCTCCACTTAGCAGAGTATTTTCTCCAATGATGTGGAAAATAACATGGCTATACAGTACAGTAATTTATTATGATCGGCTTTACACAGAAGTTTTAATGAGCTTTAGTAGAATATACTGTTAAATTTATTACAGAAAATGAGCCCTCGTGGTTACATATAACACAGTAGGCAAGCTGTTAACATCCAGCATTGCCAATTTAGCTACTATACTTTGTAGATAGATCTAGCTAAAGTTGATTTTGCATTCAGCTATAAAGAATTATAATTTTTCTATTGTCAAGAAATTTAAAATTACTGTACAATTTTTCAAAACAAATTTGAGTTATGTGAACTTGCTGGAAGGGTCCAAGTTAACAGGAATTTACTATATAACACATTTTTAAGATTATATAGTTTATTAAGCATGCCATATTTTTTAATAAACTATATTTTATTAATCTCTTAATTATTCTTAATTTCTACTTATTAGTCTAATTACTGACAAGTGATAATTACATAATAAATAATTTATACAGAATCACTTAATTAATATAATAAATTATTTATTTAGTACATTGTTTATTTCAATAATTTATTGTATCCATTTAGTCTTACAAAACTAAGACCAAATCATAAAAGATTTACCATTAATAGTATAAAAAATTTCATAGTATTTACTATTTTGCTTTATACTTAGTAATCAATACATTTAAACAAAAATGCACAAAAAAAAAGAATTGAATTCACTTTAATAGTTTGTATGAAATAAGTTGTAACAACTCAGACTTTTATCAATAATGTGGTTAAATTTTAAAAAATGATTATGTACATACATATTTTATTATTCAAAATAAAACAGTTGATAATTTTTTCACTCTCTCCACCTTGTAGGCACCAAGAGGACTTTTTAATCCTATCCATCATGGCTTTGATCAGATCCTCAACAGGAATGGCTGAGTATTGAGGAATGGGCCAAACATATTCAGGACAGTTTAACCCCTGAAATATTGCTTCCAGAGGTATTTAAATTTAGATATAATCATTAATGGTTACATCCAAATTTAATGGTGCAGACTTCAGGAAGTTGATGCATACTTCAAGAAATCTATATATATATATTATATATACATACCNTCATAGTCATAGCAACAATAGAAATGATTGTCTACAAAGGCTTAACTAGAGCCGTAATTAATAGTAGACTACTTGTTATTGAAAAAATACTTTGAATATTGTAGCTGATTAAAATTTATAAAATTGTGCCAATTTGAAAATAAACTTTTTTATGTATATGTAGACAAGCAAAAATCTTTGCAAAGAATGTATTTCTAATACCGTATTTTGACGAGTATAAGTCACACTTTTTTTACTACTTTTTGGGGCTCAAAATCATGGTGCATCTTATACTCGACAGGTAACCATTTTTACAGTGAAATTACCTACAGTAGTTGTCCACTCTAGGGACTAACCTGTGCAGTGGTCCACTCTAGGGACTAACCTGTGCAGTGGTCCGTTAAGCAGATTGTCCCTCAACCGAATGGCTATAGTATCTAGATTATCAGAGTAGCGACACACAAGTCATCGCCATGTTCTGTCGACTGTCATTACGTGACCTATGAGTTTATTAAGATATTAAGAAATGACGATTATTTCAGTTTAATAAAGGTATCGATTCATCCATCCGTCATATTCTTGAATAAAAAAAAAACAAATAAAATGCATCTTTAGACAATCCTATTAAAACAGTTTTTTTCTAAATTTTTTGTCTCAAAATAGGGGTGCGTCTTAAACTTGACAGCGACTTATACTCGTCAAAATACAATAATTTGATTTATCACTTCGAGTGCCCACTCTAACACATTTTTAAAATTCTTTAAATTGCATACAGTAGAGGAATAAAGAATTTTTAAAATGTGTTAGATTGGTCACTCGGTGTGATAAACCTTTACCTAAGGTAACTTTTGTAGTTATATAAATTAAATATTATAATATAACAAACATGAAAACAAAAATCATATAAAGAATTTGGTTATTTCAGCCTACCATTGTCACATTTATCGCGATACTCGGATGGTACAAAATGGCACAAATTCAATGGTCAAGTAGACAGGAATTGAAAATATATCTTAAATTTTCAGATATAATATTTTCTACTATTTACAGCTAAATATAAAACGGTAATCTGCCAACCAATCAAATTTCAGAAAAAAACGGACCATACTTAAACTCAGCACCCTCGAAAACCACTTAAATCATGTTTTGTGCTGCCTGGCAACCTTATATTGTAATTTTCCTATTCAAATGCCACCATACCACTAGTCCGATAGAATGAAGGAACTGTTGCAGTAGGGAGTTGAAGTAAATTTGACCAAAATTTTGACCAATTTGTCAGCGACTAGTCATTAATAATCGGCCTACTATTAATATTTGAAAAGTAATCCATGTTGAATGGATTGTGATGGTCCCGCAGGTGATTGATGTTGCTAACTTTAACGTTTGAAAGACTTCGTATGACTTATCTAATCAATAACTGACAGAGAAATTAAAGCAAGAAACAAATTAGCTGAAAGTCCAATTAATTAATTAAAAACAAACCGAAGGAATTACAAGACCCCGTCAAGAAACAAAGAATTAACTAGTTCCTCGTTTACTAAATCCTATGACAGAATAGATACCACGATTATATCGGAATTGCCATCTACCAAAAACAGTTGGATTATATATTGGTTATTAATTTAGTATACTTTTTATCGTAGTTTGTGGCACATTGATCCAACTAAGCAGAGTAGTCTGGTCGAAAATCTTTGTTTGCCAGATTCAATAAGAAATATTGTATAAACACTTGGGTGGAGAAACCAATGAGAAAAATTTATCAAAATCCAAGTGAAAAAGTTTACTGTCTTCGGAGTCTTCAAAAGAGAATATCTTGAGAAGTTTCTCTTCATTCGTTTCACAAAATGTTAAGTACTCTTCATTCCATAATTACGGTTCAACAAACGTCTGAAGTTTAGATGGTGATGAAATTCAACTTTGGATCTCTTTTCTTGTCTATTTATAACAGTATAAGCCGGAGCAAACTTAGAAATCAATGGTGATCGTGGAGATTCATTAAAAATTAGAGGACTTGTGATAAATGATTGATTAAACTTCAAAGTTGTTTGTTTGTGAGAACATTCTTCTTGTGACACTGATATTGTAGAAAACAAAACTGGTTGTAGTTGCTTGTTTTCACTTATTCCTTTTCTACCATGGCGCGTTGGCACCTTATTATAACCGTCAATAGATTATATTTCATTTATTTACAATTTTTCCTCCTTTTCTTGGATAAAATTTTGTATTGTTCCCTAAAAAGACTTTTTCTTTATCTTACAAATAGATATCCGAAGTAATCTCATCCTCAGCAGATATCTACTACATATGTTTTTGCACCAAATAAATGTTTCTTTGAATAAAGGAAAAATATTATTTCAAGAAATAAATAAATTATAGGCCTATTTTGAATTTCAGATAGTTAAGTAATTGTACTTTCCCAGAAAATATTCTGATCTGAAAAATTTGACATCTCGTTTTTTTCGTATTTCTTGACTTATTGACACTCCATAAACCCAAAATGTAAAAAAAAAACCTTATAAACTTGTGTTTGCTTCTATTTTGCATTATATCTCAGGACCGGATGATCCAAAAAGTTTCAAACTTCGTCAGTTATTTCTACATTGGTGCTATTAAATTTTGGTAAAGGTCAACGGGATATAGAGAGCGGGTCTTATCTCGAGTGGGATTAAATTTAATGAAAAGTTTACTCGTTATTAGCATTTACAGTTTCTTTTAGAAACTTATTCCTACCCTCAAAATAAAGCTTTTGCCTTTTAATAATAGAGAGGTTGTGGCCGACGTTTTCAATGCAAAAACGTGTACGTCGGATGTTCAGTGCTGCTTTCCTAAAGGCCTAGAAGTTTGGCAATGATGTTTGGGACGTCGAGCATGATTCCACTGATTATCCAAACACCATTGTCAAACTTCTAGGCTTATAGGAAAGCGGCGCTGAACGTCCGACATACACGTTTTCGCGTTGAAAACGTTGACCACAACCTCTCTAACAATTAATAATGTAAAAATTTTTAAAAAACCTTGTACAATTGTGTTTGGTGCCATCTGTTAAGAAAATTATTGTACTTTCTTCCAAGATTAGGAGGATTAGAAAGATGCTCCTAACCTCGAAAATTCGAGTTCTGAGAAAGAGAAAGAACATTTGTCAGCTTTTATATTGTTTAACTTGTTTAAAAATGTATTTTTCTTAAATTTAAAGAATAAATTTGTTGAATGATTGATAATCTATAGAATTACACACTGAGAAATATTTAAATTAAATAGCAATTTTATTAACTGCAACAGCGCGCTCTATTTTCTTCTGTCTTCTCCTCCTCTTTTTGTATTTTCGAGAAGCATCAATGAAAAGTGAAATCTCTTCTGATTCAATAATATCTCGTGCCATGAAATTCAGAGCATGTAAATTATAACCATAAATATCCTAAAAATATAAAAGAAATTTTATTACTACTTTACAGATTTTATTTTATGATGATAATACTCATTGTGAATACTTCACTAACTTTTAGAGACTTTGTCTGTTGTTCTGTTACTTTCTGAAGGTTCTCAATTACAGAATATAAATTCTCATTTTTTATTATTTGCTTGCAATGAACACTAAAAAAAATGAAAGAAAAATAAATCAAATATATGAATATTTAAAGAAATATTTGTTAAACATTAAATAGTTTTTTAAAAATGTTTACATATAATAAATTTTTAACAGCTTAACATATGAAATTTAATTAGATTGGATTGATGGAATAAGGAAAGGCAATGCAAAGGTAATCTGACAAAGGAGTGTTATCTAGGAGAACTTTCTAAGGGAAACTGGGCTCCTATTTAAGCGTTAAATTAAACATGTGAATAAATTCCAGAACCATGTAACTTTTCCAAGTTTTCCAGAACCTGGATGGTTCTGGAAGACTCCATGTAACTTTGACTTTTTTCAATCATGCCATTTTGACACTCCATGAGCCAAAAATGTATACTTATATACTTGTATATAAAAACCTTACAAAATTTTGTGTATATTTGTGTTTGTGCTTGTGTGTTGGTATCTATTTTTCATTATATCTCAGGATTGAGTGAACCAAAAATTTTGAAATTTGACAGGATTAGGTTATTTCTACATATACATTAAATTTTAGAGATTTTAAGACAAGGAGGTAGAGAGAATAGAGAAGGGTCATGTGTCATATCTTAAGGGATGGAATGCAAACCTGTGACCAATTATCAGGTATTCAGTGGTTGTGTAATTGTGACTGATTAAAAATTATCTTAAAAAACAAAATTTGTCATCTGAACAGAATACAACTATACAAATGATCTGTATAGTTGATTTTATTAGAAAAATATATTTCACATTTAATAATTAGCAAAAGTAAATTTCAATTTCCTTTTAAAACAGAAAATTTGTTTGTAATTTTAATTATAAAGATTATGAAAAATTAACAAGATGTCTGTGTCAAAAGTCATACCATATTTACTCGCATATAGGACGAGGTGTGACTTTAAACATCAAGTAAAGAAAATTACATTTATTAATACAATTCTAATTTTATTTCATTTAATCACAAATAAAATAGCAAATACACATAAATGCACACAGTGTCCTGCAAAAATTACTGTTATTTTAAACGTTAAAGAAAAATCTTGTAAAATCGACAACATAATTTGTTCACATAAAGCTGGACAATTGGGAACCTTTTTGCCAATTCTTAACAGTCAAATTCACTCTTCGTTGATTAAATTTATGAGTTTCTCTGAATTCTGATTTCCAAATAATAATAATCCAAATAATGTTTTTATGTGGAAATGAATTAAAACTTATATCAAGCTTCCGTGTAATTTTGGAATTCAATTCAAAAGTTTTGCTTTTCCTATTGTTATTCATCTTTACTCCTGACAATACACAAAAACAATTCAAACGACCCAGATAAAATACTTTTGTTTTTAAACACCAGAAGGTGAGAATCCGGTAAAAAATGCAAATACACAGTTCACAAAAATTATTGCAAAAACAAAAAGAATCCTTCGCTTGTGCGTATAGGACAACCTAGGTTTTTGAAACAGTGAAAAATGAATAGAAACCTCATTTTATATGTGAGTAAATATGGTATTTTACTTCAATGAAAAAAGAGAATATATTCAAGTCACCAGTTTTAGTCATTTTTAGCACATTTTGTCCCATTAACACTAAATGCTAATTTCAGATACATTGTAAATTATTACTTTATGCCATTGTAAATTTTTTTTAGTTAATTTATATTTTTTAAGTCAGATAACCATAATCATAACAACATAATAGCCATTTTGAGATAAATAAAAAGCAAAAATCCTCAAATTGTACAGTACATTTTGATCACTTATGACCAGTAATCTAAATATATAAAATTACTTGTCCCGACTGACTGAGTCACTGATTCATCATCGCCCAGAGCAAACTGCTTAACCTAGAGGTGAAATTAGGGCTAAAATACTACAATAAATTCTCAGAGAACTACCGAAAAAATGTTTGTCAAAAATATATGGAAACTAAAATAAGACCAGAAATTCATCGAGAAGAGATAATTAAGACGGAAGAACTTCAGGATTGTATTAAGAAACTTAAAGATAAATCAACACCAGGAGCAGATACAATACCTAATTCACTCATTAAATTGCTGCCACTAGAAATCATTCAATATTTAACCAGACAATTCAATCAATTCTACAGTTATAGTATAATACCGGACAAATGGAACGAAGTCATTTTTACCATGATATATAAACAAGGGAACAAACAGGAACCAGCCAATTACAGACCAATAGCTCTTCTGTCTTGTCTACGGAAAGTATTCACTGCAGTATTAGCTAGTAAATTTAATCATTGGACAGCTGTTAATAATTATAGAAATGATACGCAATTTGCATTTGTGGAAGGAGGTGGTACTCAGACAGCTCTCTTTGTGTTGTTAACAATAATTCAAATACAGTTGCTTAAGAAAAGACATAAAGTGTTTGCCCTTTTTTTGGACCTTGAAAAAGCATACGATATGATTAGCATTACAGACCTACAAAGTAAGATGAAGAGATGTGGAGCAAATGAACCTTTGATAAAAATGATAGGATTGCTGTTTGGAAAATATAAGACAATCATTAAACAAGATGCAAAGATCTGGACACCGTTTATTACCAACAGAGGACTACTACAAGGAGATCCGTTGTCCCCATATCTTTTCAATTTTTATCTATATGACCTAAATACTTGTTTTCAAAGAGACGAAGATGGTATTCAAATCGAAAATCAGACAATACATACCATATCATATGCCGATGACATTGTGCTGGTAGCTCCTACGGCAGCTGCGCTCCGTAGAAAGAT